AAGTCCCCGCTGGCTCCTTTTCTCTTTTCAGGGATAAAGAAGTAAAACTATACAGCTTGATGCTTTCTTCTACTCTCAATTTAAAAAAAAAAAAGTTTTTACTTGTTAAAATGTACATATTAATCATATATCTATTTTTTTTAATACTTTCCAGAAAAAGATAATTTGTCATAACTTTTTTTTACAACTCTCTTCTACTTTTCTGTTGGGGAAAAAAAGCCAGAAAGATGGGAAACAAAGGGATTATTTTTTTTGGCCACGCTAGCAGCGTGGGCTCTTAGTTCCTGACCAGGGCTGGAACCCATGCCCCATGCAGTGGATGTACGGAGTCTTAACCACTGGACTATCAGAGAAGTCCCCAAAGAGATTTTATATATTTTTATCATTTTCTGGTTTTTTAAAGTACATAATAGACAATTAAGTATACCTCCACTGTTACTTTCACTTATATTTGTTCTCATGAAGTCCTCAGAATTGATTTGTAAGTTTCTAAAAGACTTGTTTACTTGAATGATCTATATGTCAACCAAACTTGATGTTAATCTCAATGGTCAGATACAGACAGGGTTAGGGTTGATGTCCCCAGAAGGAGGTGTCTAAGCTCTAAACGATTCCTCTCCCTCAAAAATAAATGCTTACACACGTCATGTATCTCTGGGAAGACCTGGGATTTGACATTCAATGTAGGCTTACTACTCAAGAAATCAACTTACAGTACCGTTTTAGAACATTAAAAACAGCATTCACTTCCTACTGTTAAGTCACACTGATGATCTTCCTTATACTTTAGATGCACAATTAAAATAATTCAAAACCAAAATTAAAGGCCCAACCATAAAAGCACACTGCAATTTCAGGACCTTTAATGCGGCAGAGTGCAAAGTCACAGTCAGGAAAGGGGCCAGGTTTGCTTCAACCTAGTAAAAGGCAAAAAGCACTACCAAAAAGTCAAATGAAGATCTCATCTGACTTTTTTCCATCAAACTTCTCAGCCAAAAGTGTGTATCACATTAAGACATCACATTTCAAATGTATAACCTGCTTTATGTAAATGTTCTTAATAAAGCCAATAATACTTTGCATTGGTAGATCACTCTGACACAAAGTAGTATGATTTTTATATCAGATTTGATTTTTATGAATATGCCATGAAGTGTGGCAATGGCTGTTATTTACAACATAAAATTGGAAACAACAGATTCATAAATTGAATTACTGTCAACATCATTAAACACTCTGACTCCTAATCCAATTCTTTTTTCACATTTCATCATGCTGGCAACATGAACCAGAAGTAAGATTTTAGGAGAGTGCTTCAGGGGCAAATACTGAGGAAAAATTAGATTCTGACTCCCTGCTAATACTAATACTTCCTTGTTAATACTTCCTTCAGAAAGCCCTTATGCATGTTTCCACACATTAAATACCCTTTAAAAAAAATCCTCTAAATCAAATCAGTTAGTTGTAATCTTCCCATTATAGAGCTCAATTTCACTTTAGAACTCTTAAGATTTTTCTTCAAGTTCATCTGATACAATAAACATGACCTTTGAAACAAACTCATATTTTTTAACTGTTTTAAATTAATCAAGACAGCAGAACTGTCAGACAAATATGGTATGATATCACTTATTTGTGGAATATAAAAAACATAACAAACTAGTGAATTTAACAGGAAAAGAAACAGACTTACCTACAGAGAACTAGTGAGGGGAGCAATACTGGGGTAAAGGAATGAGGAACAAACTACTGGGTATAAGATAGGCTCAAGGATGTACTGTACAACATGAAGAACATAGTCAGTATTTTGTAATAACAATAAATGGAAAGTAACCTTTAAAAACTACAAAAAAAAATTCTAATTAAAAAAAACAAAAACAGCACAACTCCCAGAAAGAAGATTCTTGAAAATATAAGTTATTACTTACAATATGGCAACTTCCTCACTTTAACCACATACAAAAACAAAAACAATTCAGCCTCTACTAGTTCTACATTGTTAGATGAGTCTGCATTTTCTGTTTTAAAATACTCTGGGCTTAACAGGCCTTACACTGTGTCCATATTCTTTACATGTCAGAAGCTACTACTTCTAAGATCTCAGTTCAAACTCACATAATTCTTTAAATATTTAACCTGCATAAAAATACAATATTATAATCTAGAACCAGTTGGTAAATCAGACCAGTTAAGCAATTATGACTGTTTCTTATGCCCTGGTAAAGGAACTCAAATTTTTAATATGGTATTGAACAACACAGGACACAAAATACACAAACCAAAACAAAATCTGGACAAGAAACTGAAATCTGGGGAGAGAAACACTGCTCCAAAGTAAAGAATCTAAGAAAACAAAGTATGACTTCTACAGTTAAAAAAAAGGGAAAAAAAGAAAAAAAGCTTTAGAATGGATATTTTATTAAGAATAAATGGACACTTGGAATTGAGGTAAACCCCAATTTTTCAAGACTGATAAATGCAAAAATACATAGACTATTCTTCTCAAAGAACAATGCAGCCCTTTCTTTAGAACAGAAAACAAAATGTGACCCAAACATGCAACTTACCATCCATATCCAACATATTCATAATAGAAAATGAAACAAAAACATAATCCAAAATATCAGGTGTATCAAACGCAGTACTTAAAATGATTCAATGAAAACAAACTTAACATCCCCTATTTTATAATAATGTTTAACTTCTTTATTTCTACTGGCAAATTATAAATGAAAAATCTTGCTATATCCAGATCTTTTCAGATTAACATGCCTATGCTTTGTCACCTAGAGTTACAGGAATAATCAAGACTGCACTGCCTTAACTGAAGAAAAGTAAGGAATTCTGTCTTTGATTTTACTGTCCAAAATAAAAACAGATCAAGATGAGATGTAAAAATACTGAGAATGTGTCATATTTGTTTTGTTTTCCTTCCCAGTCCAACCAAAGCATTTCTTGTCACTTCTCCACAACTAACTTACATTTAAACTTGTTATTCATAGCTTGTGGATGCAGTAACAGGCCCTCTGCCTATGTTGTCTGTTGTTGTCACTTGCTTTTTAAAATTAATGTTTAACTAGTTTACATAACTGTAATTGCATTATCTGTGTCCCTTTTTTTAAATTAAATTTTGCCTATAGAAAATTTGGAAAATACTAGAAAGTGTAAAAAAAAAAAAACCTGTAGTTGCATCATCTAATCACTTTCATAACTATGACTCTCCTTTGAGTCTTATTTCTTTTTTTTGAGTCTTATTTCTAAAAGACATATAACCACTTCTAGTTCTATAGTTTAGTGAACAAAATTAGAATTATAGTACTTTCTAACCTATTTTCATTTAAAAACTAGTATTTCCCACACCCTTAAATATTATTTGAAAGCGGTTTTTAATGGATTCTTTAACTAGAATCCTTAGCCAATCCTTAGGCTGGGGTAAAAAATTAAAAATTATTAAAAATAATCCCCTCACTTTCTCCCTTCCCTTCCCCTTTATCACCATATTGTAGAAAAGAACTGTAAACCATTCACACTAGCATCCAAGATGTGATAAATAGCCCCCTGAGAAATGCGGGGCCTAATAAGATTCAAACTTGACACCAAAGAAGAGATGCGCTAATAATGACGTTTCAAGTACTATTCAGTAGATGTGACCTTACTGTAGGCAAATTTCCTAAAAGTTGCAGTACTAAAATAATTACCTAGTCTAGCTACAAGAAGGCTTCATTCCATTTTCTTAATAAAGCTAGACTGAAGCAGCACCAATTTCACCCGCTCAACAGTGTCTAACTGGCCAAGTTCGTCAAAATTGGCGCTCCCAATGGCAAAAAGTTGGATTCATGAACAAAATAAACAGGTAACGCGTACAAGACACGGTGTGGACTGATGCTACGTGGAGGTGCTTATCGATTAGGAAGGGTAGAGGGGAGGGGGGAGATAGGGAGATTTGATGATTATCAGACTGGCGCACAACCAGAAATCTCAAATGCTTTTATTTAATCTTTCTGTTCCTGGCATCACGAGGCTCAAACGTCACCAAAAACAGACCGGCTGGCTGAAAACCCGGCGGGGTGACGCACACAACATCTTACCATATGGATTCTCATCAATCAGGACCGAGAAGAGTCTTAAGCCAGCCCAGTGGAGGAAGGCGGGTGCGTCCCCCAACCGACGGCTCCCCTACAAGCCCGGCGCTCCGCTCGCGCCTGCACGCAGGAAACCGAGGATGCAGGACCACCGCACCGGACGCCTCGGTATCTGCTCCGCCGCGAGGGCTGCGGCCCCGCGTTCTGAGGGGGCCACCCAGGCGGCCGCAAACGCCGAGAGCCTGAGGATCAAGCCTCCCCTCCGCTGAGACCCCACAAATACCTCCACCAGACGACTGACACAAGAACCGCGACAGTCGGCGCGGACTCCCCTCCCGGGATCCAAACTCGTCCAGGACCTTACCTGAAGGGGCAGCGCCACCACCGCCCGACGGCGCTGACTATCGCTGTGGCGGCGGTCACAACTCCGAGAGCAGTGACGCCTCTCATAAAAACAACCTGCTCACAGGCGTCCGCAGCCGGGAGGCGGCGGCCGGCGGGGCGCCGCGGCGCATGCCGGGACTCGTAGTCCGGTCCGCGCCTCATACCGGGCGGCGGCCGAGTGAAGAACTACGACTCCCGAAGAGGAGCGCAGTCCGCCGCCGGGAAGCTGCTGGAAGCTGGGCCCCGCGGCCGAGATCCTGACAACATCCGGGCCCCGGCGCTGGAGAGGCGCCGCGGCCGGTTACTATGGAGACGGGGAGCTACAACCACTTGGCAGGATTCCACCCTGGAGGACCGCTCCTGGGATTAGGCGGATTAGTTTATACGTATTGATCCAGCCGACCGTTCACCAGCTCTTTGCTGCTTTAATTGGGTATAGAAAAAGGGCCGCGTCCCCTCGGTGCTCACTGGCCTTCTTGCCATCAGCTGCAGGGAAACACTACGTTTGCGGAAAAAATAAAGAAGACATCGAGAATGACCGAGTGCGACTGGGTGGGTTTGGGCAGAGGGCTGGATGTTTTTGACTATTGGTACTCTTTACTATAAATTTGGGGCACCTCGCATTCCCACCCACCCCACGATCCAAAAAAACCACTCTTGTAGGCAATCACTGGACTACACAGATGTAACATGCATTGCATTAAGCCGGAATTGCCTCTGAAGGTATAAAGATGATTGGGGATGGTATGCAACTCATACCCCACTGCAAAATGGGGTGATGGTTTTGAACAAGAAAAACGTGCCTTGTCAATTTACATGTTTACATTGTGTCTTGTTCAAAAAAGGATATGAGGGGGCGAAAGAATATGATGCATTTATATCACTGTGGATAGAAACAGTAGAAAGTTAAGGTTTAATTCTCTGTCCCCTAATTGTGGCCAAAAATTTTTTAAAACATTAACAAGAAGGATGGTTGGGCCTGAGGAAAAACAAAAGGGTGCCTAAAAATTAGGCTTTAAGGAATTTTTTGCTTTTGGTTGTGATTAACATCAACTGTGAAACCAAAACCAAAGAAGAAAAAGCACTTTTAGTGTTATAATTACAGTTTCTATAGTGGGCATTTTTATTATTTCAATGGCTTGTTGTTATTTATCTTTATAAAAATGTGTGTTTATAACAAAAGACTTGCAAAAGTCAAAGTGGCCTAGTCTTCTCTAATTCTAGGAGAGCCTGAGTATTAAATTAGTAAGAAAGCCAATACCATTTATTTGTAGATTTCATTCAAGGCACTTAATTGATTTTAAAAGATTCATTTATAATTTTCATTAACCGTCTTCTTATCCTTCACTAACAGTCGCTGACTCAGTGTATAATCTAGCAAAGAATTTAAAGTAATCTTTTTATTATTCTTTGTATTAGGCTGTTTTGTTTTTAATGTATCTGTTTTGAACTACACATTTCAAGAATATCAGATTTGAAGAGGGATAAACCTAAATAAGAAAGCTGCAGTGAGGACCTAGGATATAAAGTAAAAGCGATCGGTATTTTGTTTCAAAGTCCATAAACATTTGTGAATTGTTCTGGAGAAACAAAAGATTTAGGTGGACAGTAACTTCTACAGATTGTATGGTACAGATTATGCCAACAAGATTTTTCAGCTCATTTGTCTCCTATTTTGACTACATTCTGTTTTCTCTATTACATTTGGAGTCAAAGTTGATCCAGATTTTAGAGCCAGTTGTAGAGGGTGATTTGAAAGTCACAACCTCTGTGAGAGAGGCTGCCCTGGGCAACCTGACTGGTGTCCATAAATTATATCAGGATTGGTACTTTCTCTAACAAGTCACAAGGCAGCACCTCCCACTTAAGAATCGTGGGAACCTAACATTTTGAGACAAAGTGACCTGTTGTCAGAATGCCATAACATTCTAGCAACTTACTCTGCTCCAATGTCTGTGCTCTGGATATTTAAAACAATTTAATAAGCAGTGTTAAAAAGAATAAATAGCAAGATCTGATGAGTTTTATTTCCAGCTTTGCCAGCTTCCTACAAGCTAATGAGTGTTAGTAAATGGGAGCATACTAGTGTAAATGTTCTTAACCTGTAAATTTCAGAACTGAATTGTGGAAGATGGTGCATATGCATTGAGGTATACCTGCAAAAAAGAAAATGATAAAAATCAGTTCCATTTATATGGTAATGTATCATTTACATCTGATTTTCTTTCACTTTCCAACCACAGGAACTATAGCAAATTTTTTTAACCAGTTTTACAGACAATATAAAAACATAGGTGCAGTGATGATAAAGGATTGGAATCTAGGTCACACAGTTCTTGCCTTGTGCTACTCCCCTAATACTATCATACTTCTTCAAATGTGAACAAAAGTGGATTATGAATTTTAATATCTCAAATTAGAGCCATTAAATGTAAATATAAAATAATAAATAGGTCTAAATTTTGAAGCTATAAAAAAAAAAGGTGGAGTAAATACTTCACAATTGCAGACTAGAACTAAAGATTTCAAAACAAATAGGTTTCTGACAGTGGGAAACAATTTTGCTGAGACATTAAGTGGAATCACCCAGGAATTCAGAGTGAGATGGGTTATTTTAAGAGAAACCAGACTAATCTGACGCAAATTTGATCCTGACACAACAACGTGGCCAATATTCTTTCCCCCATTTTAGAGTTGGAGAAACCGAGATTTTATGCTTGCTAGTTTTAAGGATTTAGAATTCTTAAAGGGTCTGAGCCTCATGAATCACAAGAATCTACTATAAAGCCTTCAAAGAAAAAGAATTTTAATGCATATAAGCAACATTCTATTTAATTCAACCTTAAAAAGTCACAATTACAGTACCCTGGGGCTTCCCAGGTGGCACCAGTGGTAAAAAGACCGCCTGCCAATGCAGGAGACAAACGAAAGGGGGGTTCAATCCCTGGGTCAGGAAGATTTCCTGGAGGCAGGCACAGCAACCCACTCCAGTATTCTTGCCTGAAGAATCCCTACGGATAGAGGAGGCTGGTGGGCTACAGTCCATAGAGCTGCAAAGAGCCGGACAGGACTGAAGCAACTTAGCACGCACACACGCACTGTACCCTGCCAACCTCTCTATAGGGTTAGATTATAATAATATAATTTCTGATCTGAAAGGACTTAAGATGTTACATATTTCTGAAATTGCCAAATTTGGGGGGGGGGTTTAAACTGCCAAAATTTTTTGCCAACATGGACCCCAGAGAATGCATTTTTAAGGGCCTTATCACAAGTAAATGTACACTCTTTGTTCATGTTTTTTAAATAACTGAAAATCACTTTCCTATGACTACATTTGGAGAACCCTTATATCCTCAGATTAGGAATCAAACCTATCTAATCCATCTCCTCTGTTTTATATTTATAGACAAGGAATTTGAATCCTTACAAAATAATTTCATCAAAGTCACACAGCTTTTATTACTGGCAACATCAAAACCTAGAACTGGTGACACCTAATTTTGAAGGTGAAGACCTATCTTTTTAAAAAATAACCAATTTCCCAACATTATTGAGCTGGTTTCCTATGTGCTTATCTCCTATACAATAAAATGTGGAACTTCAGATTTTTTAATCACTATTTTTCCAGTATCTAACAATGCCTGACACTCAGTAGGTACTCAGTATTTGTTCAATGAGTGATAACCAAGGTCCGTATAGTCTCTTCCATGTGAATTCTTTCACCTTCATGACTGAAGCTTGTTGATTTTAATGGACATGACTTTACTGAAGATAAAGCATGTTATGTTCATGTGCTAGAACATATCACTTTTGTATTCATTCTTTTTACTGTCTTGCTTCCTCCTCCCCCAAATAGCTAAATTATTTTGAATATTTATTGAATTTATTATGTACGTTAGTAACAAATTGTAGCAAATGGCCATCTACCCAAATGTTTGTCCAGAAATCTGGCGGTCTTCCTTGATACGTCGCTCTTCCTCTCCATCCACATCCAATCAGTCAATAGGTCCTATGGATGCTACTTTCAAAATATGTCTCAAATTTATTTCCTAGTCTCTCTGTACCACGATATTTCTATAAGTCATCATTGTCAGTCACATGGACTACTGAAGGTCCTCTCCACATCCATTCAAGGCTCTGAGAGTCAAGTAATCATCCTAAAAATTATGTTACATCATGACATGTTTCTCTTTAAAACTTTTCAATAGCTTTCCATTGGTTTTACCATAAAGATCCAAACTTCTAACATAGTCAACCAGACCCTTCAGATTCTGCCCCTGCCCCTCTCTCATCTCGAGCCATTTTCACTCCACTTGGGCCACGCGTTTTCTCTGTGCCCTCCTCTATCTTCTCCTTCCTTGCCTCCCAGTCTTAGATTCAATGGCACTTCACCAGAATGGCCTCCCTAGGCCCTTACACTAGGTTAGAACCCCCCTGAGTCTTCATAAATACCTTGAATTTTTTTTTCTTCATAGCATTTACCACAATTGTAATTAGTCAGTTGTATAATTATTTGCTTAATACACAAAGCAAAGATCCATAAAGTTAAAATGGCTGAATGTTTATCTTGTTCCTTCTTCACTCTAAAATCCAACTGTACGTCCTCTTTGAACTATGATCTATTGCATCTTATTCTATAATTTACACAGTTTTATAAGTTCTTATACTTATAGTATGGGATTTTTAAAACTTATCTTGTACATACTTTTGACAAGTTTTCTCTGTACAGACATATATAATTTAAATATATGTAAATTTAATGTACATATATATGTGCTTAGTCACTCAGTCATGTCCAACTCTTTGTGACCCCATGGAATGTAACCTGCCAGGATCCTCGGTCCATGGAGATTTTCCAGACAGGAATACTGATGTGTGTTGCCATGCCCTCCTCCAACCCAGGGACTGAACCCAGGTCTGCATGGCAGATGGATTCTTTACCATCTGAGCCACCAGGGAAGCCCATACCTATATATACGTGTATATATACATGTTGTTAAGTCACTAAGTTGTGTCTGACTCTTTGCGACCCCATGGACTGCAGCACACCAGGCTTCCTTGTCCTCCACTATCTCCCAGTTTTCTCAAGTTCACATCCATTGAGTCAGTAATGCTATCTAATCATCTCATCCTCTGCTGCCCTCTTCTTTTGCCTTCAATCTTTCCCAGCATCAGGGTCTTTTCCAATGAGTAGGCTCTTTCCATCAGGTGGCCAAAGTACTGGAGCTTCACCTTTAGCATCAATCTTTCCAATGAATATTCATGGTTGATCTCCTTTAGGAGTGACTGGTTTGATCTCCTTGCAGTCCAAGGAAGCCATTATAATATAATATAATGGGTACTCTTCAATGTCCTCAAGAGAAAAGGACTCCCAAAAGGAGAGTAGATGGGGCTAAGTTTTTGTTTTCTTCTGGTTTTCTAGCTTTATTGAGGTATAACTGACATATAACATTTGTGTAAGTGTAGGTGCCAAAGCCTTTGACTGTGTGGATCACCGTAAACTGTGGAAAATTCTGAAAGAGATGGGAGTACCAGACCACCTGACCTGCCTCTTGAGAAACCTGTATGCAGGTCAGGAAGCAACAGTTAGAACTGGACATGGAACAACAAACTGGTTCCAAATAGGAAAAGGAGTATGTCAAGGTTGTATATTGTCACCCTGCTTATTTAACTTATATGCAGAGTACATCATGAGAAACGCTGGGCTAGAGGAAGCACAAGCTGGAAACAAGATTGCCAGGAGAAACATCAATAACCTCAGATATGCAGATGACACCACTCTTATGGCAGAAAGTGAAGAACTAAAGAGCCTCTTGATGAAAGTGAAAGAGAAGAGTGAAAAATTGACTTAAAGCTCAACATTCAGAAAACTAAGATCATGGCATCTGGTCCCATCACTTCATGGCAAATAGATGGGGAAACAGTGGAAACAATGGCTGACTTTATTTTTCTAGGCTCCAAAATCACTGCAGATGGTGATTGCAGCCATGAAATTAAAAAACGCTTACTCCTTGGAAGGAAAGTTATGACCAACCTAAACACCACCCTTATGGCACAAAGTGAAGAAGAACTAAAAAGCCTCTTGATGAAAGTGAAAGATGAGAGTGAAAAAGTTGGCTTAAAGCTTAACATTCAGAAAACTAAGATCATGGCATCAGGTCCCATCACCTCATGAGAAACAGATGGGGACACAGTGGAAACAATGTCAGACTTAATTTTTTTGGGCTCCAAAATCACTGCAGATGGTGACTGCAGCCATGAAATTAAAAGATGCTTACTCCTTGGAACTAAAGTTATGACCAACCTAAATAGCATATTAAAAAGCAGAGACATTACTTTGCCAACAAAGGTCCGTCTAGCCAAGGCTATGGTTTTTCCAGTGGTCATGTTATGGATGTTGAGAGTTGGACTGTGAAGAAAGCTGAGCGCTGAAAAATTGACGCTTTTGAACTATGGTGTTGGAGAAGACTCTTGAGGGTCCCTTGGACTGCAAGGAGATCCAACCAGTCCATCCTAAAGGAGATCAGTCCTGGGTGTTCATTGGAAGGATTGATGCTGAAGCTGAAACTCCAATACTTTGGCTACCTCATGCGAAGAGTTGACTCACTGGAAAAGACCCTGATTCTGGGAGGGACTGGCAGCAGGAGGAGAAGGGGATGACAGAGGATGAGATGGCTGGATGGCATCACCGACTCGATGGACATGAGTCTGGGTAAACTCCAGGAGTTGGTGATGGACAGGGAGGCCTGGCGTGCTGTGATTCATGGGGTAGCAAAGAGTCAGACACAACTGAGCAACTGAACTGAACTGAGACAGCATATTAAAAAGCAGACACATTACTTTGCCAACAAAGGTCTGTCTAGTCAAGGCTATGGTTTTTCCACTAGACATGTATGGATGTGAGAGTTGGACTATAAAGAAAGCTGAGCGCAGAAGAATTGATGCTTTTGAACTGTGGTGTTGGAGAAGACTCATGTGAGTCCCTTGGACTGCAAGGAGATCCAACCAGTCCATCCTAAAGGAGATCAGTCCTAGGTGTTCACTGGAAGGACTGATGTTGAAGCTGAAACTCCAATACTTTGGCCACCTGATGCAAAGAGCTGACTCATTGGAAAAGACCCTGATGCTGGGAGGGATTGGGGGCAGGAGGAGAAGGGGACGACAGAGGATGAGATGGTTGGATGCATCACCAACTCGACAGACATGGGTTTGGGTAGACTCCAGGAGTTGGTGATGGACAAGGAGGTCTGGCGTGCTGCAGTTCATGGGGTCGCAAAGAGTCAGACACGACTGAGCTGAACTGAAGGGAGTACAACATGATGCTTTGATATATATTGTGAAATAATTAACACAGTATGATTAACTAATACATCCATCACCTCACATAATTACAAATTTTTGTGTGTGAGTGTGGTAAGAATATCTACTCTCAAACTTTCAAATACAGTATCTATTGTTAATGGCAGTAACTGTACTGTATATTAGGTCCCTATAACTTACTCTTCTTACAATTGAAAGTTGGTATTCTTTGACCATCATCTATCTCTCCATTTACCGCCATCCCCAGCCCCTGATAACTACCATTCTGCTGTGGTTTTTTTTTAAAGATTCTACATATATGTGAGATCATACAGTATTTGTTTTTCTGTGATTTACTTCACTTAACATAATGATTTCAAGGTCCTCAGCATTGCTGCAAATGGCAGGACTCTTCTTTTATTATGACTGATAGTACTCTGTGCGTGTGTGTTTCTCCATCCATGCATCTGTTGATGAATACTTGTTTCCATGTCTTAGCTATTATGAATAATGCTGCAATGAACATGGGAATGCAGATATCTCTTCAAGATGTGATTTCATTTCCTTTGGATATCTAAGAAGTGAAAGTGCTGAATCATATGGTAGTCCTATTTTTAGTTTTTTGAGGAAATTCCCTACTGTTTTCCATAGTGGCTGTACCAATCTACATTCCCACCAACAGTTCCCTTTTCTCCACATCCTCAACTCTTATTCTCTCTTAACTTTTTGATAATAGCCATTCTTCAGGTGTGCAGTGACATCATATTGTGGTTTAGATCTGCATTTCTCTGATGACTGGGAATGTTCAACATATTTTCATGTACTTCTTAGTTATCTATGTGTCTGTTCAGATCCTCTGCCCATTATTTAATTATATTGCTTGGTTTTCTGCTACTGAATTGTATGAGCTCTTAAGAGATTTTAGAAGTTACCCCCTCATCTGACACACGGTTTGGACACGTCTGCCTGTCCAAGGCTGCCCCTTCATTCTGCTGTTTCTGTGCTGTACAGAAACTTTTTAGTTTGTTGTGGCCACACTTGTTGATTTTTGCTTTTGTTGTTTGTAGTTTTGGTGCCATATCCAAAAATCATTACTAACGCCACCTCCAAGGACCTTTTCCCCTATGTTTTCCTCTAGGAGTTTTATGGTATCAGAGCTTACATTCAAGTCTTTGATCTTTTTCCAGTCAATTTTTGTGAGTTGTATAAAAAAGGTTAGGGCTTAGTTTAAATAATTCTGTTTTCTTTATTTCAGAACTGTATAATTGATCATTATTTTATGCATTTATCTTTTAGGATAAGAAAAGTACTTCAGCTTCAAATTCAGACACAGAAATGAAACCTGAACTGCCTCCTTGTGTGAATCCTGGCAATCCTGTGTTTTCATGTATGTTGGATCCAAAGACACTCCATACGACTACCTCACTATCAAAACCTAAGATGATTATGTATAAAACTAATTCAAGTAATTACGGTGAATTTTTACCTATGCCACAGTTTTTCCCCTGCTATTATACTCCAAGGGAGCAAGTATTTTCTAGTCATATCAGAGCGACTGGATTTTATCAAAATAACACTCTGAACACTGCACCTGACAGAACAAGAACCCTTGATTTCCCTAATTTTCAACACACTCTATGAAAGTATGTTACTCTTAAAGAGAAAATATATTCAGGAAAAATGAGTTTTAAATCTAAGACTAGGATATCTAATTTGAAATATAAAAAAGGCTTGAAGTAATTTTTAGAAATACCTTTGACAAATAGAGCATTTCAACTGATAAGTGAATGACAGTGACTTCTTAAATAAAAATGTGTTCAAAACAGAATAAACAGTAGAAAGTATTTTATTATACCTAGTTTTATTTAGCTCATGTAGTCCCAAAACTTCAAAATGTTTTCAGGATCTCAACTTGTCTACTGAGTATATTTACCAAGACAAAGGAACACAGGGATTCTTATTAGAAAAACTAAATTAAGGAAGATTCTGATGAGGAATTTCTTACTTTTCTGTTACTTCAACTAATCACTTAGAACCCGGGGAAATGTTAGTTCTCACTGCTAAGCTGGTGGAAGAGAGAACTTGAAATTCTTTCGTTCAGATAATGAACACCCACTTATGGCAGGCACTATACAAAATAAGTGGGCTTTCCTGGTGGCTCAGTGGGAAGAACCTGCCTGCCAATGCAGGAGACACGAGTTTGATCCCTGGGTTGGGAAGATCCCCTGGAGAAGGAAATGGCAACCTCCAGTATTCTTGCATGGAAAATTCCATGGACAGGGGAGGCTGGCAGGCTACAGTCCACGGGGGTCACAAAAGATTTGTACATGACTTAGCAACTAAACAACAACAAATATGATGTAAACAGAACACAGAAATAAAAGAGAGTCTGTTTTATTGTTTCAATAAACAATATTTGGGGGAAATGAGATTAGCAAATTAATAATGTGTGATAACTTATGTAATGTAATATACATAAAAGGTCTTTCAGACACAGAGACAGAATTGGCTTAAACGCAGACAAGGAGGTCAGAAGAAATATCTTGGAGAAGGTAAAACCAAATCAAAGGAAAGATCAGCCCAGGCCAAAGAAATCTTACATATAAAAGAATGAAAATGTGAAAGAATGTTGCACATTTTCACAAATGCAATTACTCTGATACATCTTCAACACAGAGCATGAGCAGTGGTAGGTGATGGCCTATGCTGCTGCTGCTAAGTTGCTTCAGTCGTGTCCAACTCTGTGCGACCCCATAGACAGCAGCCCACCAGGCTCCTCTGTCCCTGGGATTCTCCAGGCAAGAATACTGGAGTGGGTTGCCATTTCCTTCTCCAATGATGGCCTATACAATTCTTTAAACTCTGAAATTACACTGCACGGAGATATATTTCAGCTGCCATCTGTTGAAACTTCCTGTTCAACTGGAACTAAACTCCTTTACTGGAACAAACCAGAATCACTGTTCTTATATTTCCCTGTTGGTTTCAGGTTCAGGATATTAACATCAATTAAAAAAAAAAATCTCATGAGTCACTAGGGGATCAGAAAAGTTGGACACAGAAAAGTTGAATTTTAGGAAACAGCTCAAACTTTGCAGCCTCATGAAATTCTTTCAAATATTCCAAAATATGATATAGGCACAGGAAAGAAAAAAAGATTAGCTTTGTTAACTTCCTCTGAAACATCAAAAATCAAGGCACTGCACAAGATTTCCAGGCGAATGATGCAACAGAATTTGAGTTTACCAGACTTCGGTGGCATAAACTATACAGACCATTTTACTCCTTCACTGTAGGTGCTTGATTTGCAGCAAGTGAAGTCAACTTTTTAACATGTAAAATCTAGAGGTTAACCAAAAGTTCCTTACTATGATAAGTGGTTGGGCATTTTTTGTTTTGTTTTGTGCTGTTGCTAAACTTCTTAAGAACGATGAGTATCATGGAATCAAGCATGTTGTCTGCAATGCAGTTAAGTGGTCGCTCAGTGTCTATCAAAGTCCAGGGACTTCCAGGCACCGAGCTTCATGGAGGTTAGATTCCAATCAACTCTAGTAGAGGAAAACACACCACAGACGTACGTATCCATATGTATGCACATTTATATATAAATCTTATAGAAAGCAAATGTTTCTGTCTTTATGTTACACTAACATATGCAGTATACATATATTTATACACGTGTAGACATAAGGCATGCTGCAATCCATGGTGTTACAGAGAGTCAGATATGATTGGGCAACTGAACAACAAGATATACAAATATTTACAAATACTTATCTACGTATAAATATATAAATGTAAACTATGTGTACATCAGTCAGTTCAGTCACTCAGTCATGTCCAATTCTTTGCAACCCCATGGACTGCAGTACACCAGGCTTCCCTGTCCATCACCAACTCCCAGAGCTTACTCAGACCCATGTCCATCGAGTCGGTGATGCCATCCAACCAGCTCATCCTCTGTCATCCCCTTCTCCTCCCGCCTTCAATCTTTCCAGCATCAGGGTCTTTTCAAATCAGTCAGTTCTTTGCATCAGGTTGCCAAAGTATTGGAGTTTCAGCTTCAGCATCAGTCCTTCCAATGCATATTCAAGACTGATTTCCTTTAGGATGGACTGGTTCGATCTCCTTGCAGTCCAAGGGACTCTTAAAAGAGTCTTCTCCAACACCACAGTTCAAAAGTATCAATTCTTTGGCACTCAGCTTTCTTTATAGTCCAACTCTCACATCCATATGTGACTACTGGAAAAATCAAAGCTTTGACTAGACGGACATTTGTTTGCAAAGTAATATCTCTGCTTTTTAATATGCTGTCTAGGTTGGTTATAACTTTTTTTCCAAGAAGCATCTTTTAATTTCATGGCTACAGTCACCATCTGCAGTGATTCTGGAGCCCAAAACAATAAAGTCTCTCGCTGTTTCCATTGTTTCCCCATCTATTTCCCATGAAGTGATGGGACCAGATGCCATGATCTTAGTTTTCTGAATGTTGAGCTTTAAGCCAACTTTTTCACTCTCCTCTTTCACTTTCATCAAGAGGCTCTTTAGTTCTTCTCCACTTTCTGCCATAAGGGTGGTGTCATCTGCATATCTGAAGTTATTGATCTTTCTCCTGGCAAGCTTGATTCTAGCTTGTGCTTCATCCATCCCAGCGTTTCTCATGATGTACTCTGCATACAAGTTAAATAAGCAGAGTGACAATATACAGCCTTGATGTACTGCTTTTCCAATTTGGAACCAGTCTGTTGTTGCATGTTCGGTTCTAACTGTTGCTTCTTGACCTGCATATAGATTTCTCAGGAAGCAGGTCAGCTGGTCTGATATTCCTATATCTTGAAGAATTTTCCACAGTTCATTGTGATCCACACAGTCAAAGGCTTTGGCATAGTCAATAAAGCAGAAGTAGATGTTTTTCTGGAACTCTCTTGCTTTTTCAATGATCCAGTGGATGTTGGCAATTTGATCTCTGGTTCCTCTGCCTTTTCTAAATCCAGCTTGAACATCTGGAAATTCACTGTTCACGTACTGCTGGAGCCTGGCTTGGAGAATTTTGAGCATTACTTTACTAGCCTGTGAGATGAGTGCAATTGTGTGGTAGTTTGAGCATTCTTTGGCATTGCCCTTGAAGAAGGTGCTATCGTGAGCACCCTCCCTGGCTTGTATGTATACATATTTACACATAAATATTTATGTTGGGTTTCCCCAGTGGCTCAGTCAGTAAAGAGTCTGCCTGCAAAGCAGGAGGCTAGGGTTTGATCCCTGGGTTGGGAAGATCTCCTGGAGAAGGGAATGGCAACACACTCCAGTATTCTTGCCTGGAAAATCCCATGGATAGGGGAGCCTGGTGGCTACAGTCCATGGGACACAAAGAACTGGACACAACTGAGTGACTAACAGCAACGCCATAATGTATACATATTTACAGATAAATATTTATGTCCATATATGTATATTAGTTGCTTAGTCATGTCTGACTCTGCAACTCCATGGACTGTAGCTTGCCGGCTCCTCCATCCATGGGATTCTCCAGGCAAGAATACTGGAATGGTTTGCCATTTCCTTCTCAGGGGGATCTTTGCCACCCAGAGATCGAACCTGGGTCTCTTGCATCGCAGGCAAATTCTTTAATGTCTGAGCCACCAGGGAAGCCCCCATGTAACATTTACATATTTATGTTACATAAATTTTACTTATGTAAATATTTTATTTACATGTTACTGACATATAAATATATATACATATGTATACATACAATATGCCAGGTGAAAAGAATTATAGGGAAAAACTAACACAGGGTTGGAGGAAGAGTGCTTGGACAAGGAGGTATTTAAGGTACAGGAGTGTCTGATCAGTTGGTATTTGATGCTGCCCCTGAAGAAAGTCAAGAGAAAGTCAAGTTATTGTGGGAACCGAATATCTAGTCTGATTTTCAAGGGAGAAGTTGAATATAATCAATTTAAACAAATTCACACAAAGATATTATTTAAAATCATGAGGTAAGATAACAAAGTGTAGGCAGAATAAAGACCAGAGGACTAATCTCTAGGGATTTATAAGTCAGGGGGATGACAAGGAATAAACAAATGAGATCAAGAAATGACTACTGAAGTAGGAAGAAATGAGGAAAAACGTGATACTCAGAAGTCAAGTAAGGAACTTGTTTCCTGAACAGGGAATGACCCAGGGTTGTGAAACTCTCTTGGAAGCTAACACATAGATTGAGACCTGAGGGTCTGATTAGGCAATGCAGAGATAACTGGTGACCTCAACAAGAAGTATTTCAGTGAGGTTGTAGAGAGGAAAACCATACTAGAATAGGTTTATGAAAGCCTGCAAGAAGTAGAAACTTTTTAGTAGCTTTTCTGTACACTGAATATAGAGATGGGGTAATAGCTGGAAATAAATGTGGGGCCAAAGGTTGCTTTTTAAAAAGAAGATTATAATACAGCATATTTGTATTTGATGGAAGCACATTTTGAGAATCTCTCACTCACAGTGATCAGTTCCACAGAGAAAATGTAGCTAAAGATGATTGCAGAGTAATGTTCTTCAACATGGGCTAAAAAAGTAGAGTGTATAAAATCAAATGTATAGACAGGATGAACACAGAATTATCCATCAATTTTTAGTATACTTAGAAC